TTAAATCTCTGTACCTGACTGCTTAGCTTAGTCCATAGATTTAATAAAGATGTGTTGAATGGACAAGGACACAAGTGAAGAGATGCTAGAAACATGTTCTGTTAAATTGTGGTCAGATTTCTGTCCAAACTCCTCCAAAGGAGGATTATCACCTCCTCTTGTGGGAGTATCTACATAAGCACAGAACAGCTGGGCTGCAAGAGAAATCCCGGCTAAGACTAATTCTTTGTTTACCTTTCTGTGCTAAGGTCAGCAAACAGGAGGATATGCATCATGGCTGAGGGGGTGGGTAGAATGCAGTGTCGAAAAGAACCTGGAGAGGAAGCTCGTTAAAGTCTTGAATGTCATGAAAAGTTCTGTTCTTGAGCTACTATAGCTCTCATGTGACTTCTGCCTCTGACCATCCCCTATAGCTTCGCTAATTCTTTTGAGTTTAGCAGAAACAAGACTGGAATTGCTCAAAGGACAAGATACTAAAGAAAATCAAAATAGAAATAAAAGACAAAAAACCCCTCAAACCCAAAACAAACCCCAAACCCTAATTTATTAACAGTGTGCCACAGAAGATTGGTTGGCTGGCACAATTCAAGATGTGCTCAAAACCAACGGCCCTAACCCCTGTTCTTGGAGACCTTCAGGCTCTCCCCTTCCTCTCCAAGGAGACACCACTCATGAGCTGATGGGACACCATTCATACTACCCCTCGCAGGCAGAAGCTGAGAGTGGTGCTTCGCCGTTCTCACCTCATTGAGAATGTAGAACCACTGACTTCTCATCAGTGTGGTAAAAGTAAACTCAGTCATGCTTGACCGAACTGCTAGATACCACTCTCAGTGCTTCTCAGTCATAAAACCTTCCTTGGCAGAGGAGATGAGAGGTTGGGAAAGTTACAACAAAGGTCATCAGTTAGAAACAAAATGCCATTCACACTAAGCTGAGTCTAACAGTAACCACTGGTGATGCTAAAGAAGCAATTTTAGAGATTCAAAAAGTAATCTCATGGTTTAGGATTGCTAGATTTAGCAAATAAAATACAAAACCAAAATATGTCCCCAATATTACATGGGACACACTTATACTAAAAAATTATTCATTGTTTACTGAAATTCAAATTTAACTGAGAATCACGTATTTTATCTGGCAACCCTGTGTCTGTTCTTGAGGTCAGGAAATGTTCCTACAAATTACTTCAACTGTTGCTTTAAATTTTCTAAAGAAACTAGAATTCTAAAGAAAACAGAATTCTAGAAACTAACTCTAAAAACTTTAGATGTCTGTTTTACTCTAAATAACTTTACTGAGATATAATAGACATACCATAGAATTCACCAATTTAAAATAAAATGTACAAGTCAATGATTTTTAGTATGTTCACGATACAGATGTCTATTTTGTGTGTTTAATTATGGTGTTGTACAGGATTCTATTACTAAGGTTCTGATTAACTTTTTACTCTACAAGTCACAATAACTATGCCCCCCTCCGCTATTTCTTTTTCTATCCTTTCCTTTTAGTTTCTCCAACTCAGTTATTTTCCCTTTGTGATTACAATTTTTTCCTTAATGATTTTTCAAATCACCCAAAGTAACACATAAATATCTTTTAACTGTAACAAATCCAAAATCAGAAATATATAGCTAAAAAATATAAAGTTTCCTTTCCCATGCCTTCTACACCTTCTCCGTTTCCCAAGGGAACCACTTTAACAGATCGGTGCATATTCTTTGGGTCCCTTCCCTTTCAGGGTATTTATATACAAACATATAGAAACAGCTGTATATGGGTTTCTTTAAACAAATGAGATCCTACTGTAAATATTGCTCTGCAAGTTGCTTTTTTCTTTTCACACTATGTATTGGAGATCTTTCCAGGTCAATTCATACAAGTGTCTCTCATCCTTTTGAATTTACTACCTAGCATTATTTAAGCACCTATCAGTACGTGTTAATAATTTTTATTGTTCTGTTGTGGTGGTGGTGATGACAATGATGATATTTGTAGATGTGTGTGAGTGGTAAAAGAGGGGTAAAGGAGAAGTATAACAGATGGGTCAGACTTGCAAACTCTCCAGGACAAAGAGAGCTCTGTAGGCACTGTGCTAGGCAGACAATTTAGTAGAACCACACAACACATATGCAAAACAATAAAGAAACAGCTCAAGGCAGGATATAAATAAGATTTAAAATGAATTGTAGGAACCCAAGAGAATTGAAATTATACGTCTATACAAAAATTTGTCCATGAATGTTGATAGCAGCATTGTTCATAATAGCCAAAAAGTAGAAACAACCCAAATGTCTATCAATTAATGAATGGATAAACAAATTGTAGCACATCCACACAGTGGAATGGTACTCAGCCACAAAAAGGAGTGAAGTATTAATATATGCTAAACATGGATAAGCCTTGAAAACATAAGTGAGAGAAGCCAGTCACAAAAGGCTACATATTATATGATTCTATTTATGTCATGTCCAGAATAGTGAAATCTACAGAGATAGAAAGTAGATGAGTTGTTGCCAGGGGCCAGGAGAAGGGGGAATTGGGAGTGATTGCTAATGGGTGAAAGGGTTTCTTTCTGGAGTGAGGAAATGTCCTAAAATTAAATTATGGTCATGATTGCACACTTCTGTGAATATACTAAAAATCGCTGAATTGTATGCTTTACAAGGGTGAATTTTATGGCAATTATATCTCAATAAGGGTATTATTTTTTAAAAAACTATAGAAACCAAGCACTATAGGAATTCAAGAAGGAAAGATAATGATAGGGGGTGGTGACTAGAATTGTTGCAGAAGGCTTCATGGAGAAGGACTTGTCCTAAACAAAAAAAAATGAATATAGGTTCAATACAGATGTAGGGAACAGATATCTAGGCAGGAAGAACAACTTAATGAAAGGGTTGGCACTGAGACAAGACAAGTTTTATGATAGTACCCCAGGTAGGAAGAGTCCGAAGGAGGCAGAAAGCAAGACTATAAAGTCAGGCCTTTAATACTAGGCTAATGATCTTAAATTTTATCTAGTAGCTGACAAGGAACCCCAGAAAGATTTTAAGAAAGGAAAAATGTGATAAAATTGGAATTTCAGAAAGATTAATATGATAGATTTACAGAGAAACAGATTGCAGACAGAAAGACCACTTAAAAGACTGCCACAGTATTCAACATTTGAAATGATGAGAGCCTGAATTAAGAAAGTGGTGAAAAACAGATAAGCAAGATGCTGTAACTAGTCCATATTCACTCTATACGCTGTAAGTTTTCCAACCAGAATAGGCTGACAGCCTAGAAAAGGGCATAAGTACCTGCAAAATTACTGGGCTTGCCACTGTTATTTTGTTGTCCCAGGCCAAAGACCAACATCTTGGATGGACCAGTATTAATTGCTCACTGCTTAAAACAGCACAAGCAATAACTCTACTGCAATAGGTAGGCCTAGCGTACCTAAAGGGATTTAGGCCAGGAAAACTGGTTTAAATTATTTTTCATTGGTAAAGCATTTGACTTTTGAAGTGATCTACATTTGTAAACATTCAAGTTCTTAATTATCTTCCTGAATGAAAGCATCAAGCTCTTGTATTTTTCACATATTGTATTTAAACATGTGTTTACCATGTGCCAGATACTGTCCTAGGAGCTTTACAAATATTACCTCATTTAATCCTCACAAAATACTTACGAGGCAGCACTATTATTAGCCCCATTTTACAGATGAGAAACTGTAACATAGAGAAACTAAGAGATTTGCCCAAGATAATATAGTAAGTGGTGGAGCTAGGATTCAAACCTAGAACTGTATGGCTCCAGAATCCGTGCTCTTAACCACTATGCCCCCCATGATCTTTACTTCATTGCATTTCCTGTAGATATAATTTGATATTTCTCCGTGCTATTACTTAAAGGCTGTCTGTCACTAAACCATAATCTCCATAAGAGCAGAGATTCTGTCTAGTTTAGTTGCCATTGTATTACCAGCATGTAGCACAGTGGCAGGCATTCATTTGTTGATAAATAAGTATTTTTTGAAGAAATAAATCAGTCTTTATTGATGATTACATTTTCATTTGCCTTGAACTTACTACTCCCTAAAGTATTCTGCTGTCCATATTTCCTGTTCATAAGAAGATGCAGGAGAAATCAGTCTGTTAGCTTGTTTTCCTCAGCCCTCTCTCCTTTAGTAGTTCTGAAAATAGGCGATGACTCTCTGGTTTTCCCTTGGTTGGGAGTTCCCTGACTTCCTCTTTCTGGAACTAGGGGCTGTGCCTTTGGAATGGGCTCCCTTCAGGAATCAGACAACTGCACAATGACAGAAAGTCAAGAAGGTAGAGTGTGGCCTTAAATCAGTGACCCAATTTCATTCTCTATACCTTCTCCATTCCTCAAAAGGAAGCCTAATTATAGAACTACATTCTGGCTTGCTTTTTCAAAATTTTATGTCAGAAAATTTTTTTTCATGTCAGGCAGTTTCAGTCTGAAAGATGGCTTGAGTGTGATTACCCCAGCTTCCTTTAGTACTCTGATTCATCAAAAGAGAGCATGGAAGTGGTATGGAAATCTTCCCTAACAGCAAAGCCAGACCCATCTGCTCTGTCCACAAAAGGCTGCACAGGATGACCTTATTTGCCTCAGCAACTTCTTTTCAAATTTGACCACTACTTTTTAGCAGGAGGTGGTTGTGAAGGATGGGGAGAGGAAAAGGAACACACGTTTTCCTGGTGAACTTCCAGGATAAGCACAAAATAAAATAAAAGTACAAAAGATGACAGATTGTAACTACTCAAATTAGAACTCTCAGATGACAAAACAGTGGAGCTTGTACTTCTGGAGTTTACCTCTGCAGAGCACATCTCCTTTCCTGGTCAGTGGTTTGGTGGATTGGCAGTTTGAATGATAGGTTGGCCAGCCTGCGTTATCTGTCATATGCGCACAGGCACACACGCACTTTTTAGAGGCAATAATAACATACAGACTTAGATATTTTTACTGAGTTCACCTACCTCCACTTTGTCTGTTCTCGCTTTGGCTTTCAAATAGAGACATTGCAGAGTAGTACCAACTATATTTCCATGGAATTTCTGTAAAGGAAAGAAAGATTCAGGATGAGAATTTCTTATGACAATACCATTTCACTCAAATATACACTTAAGAAACTTGAAATTTGATCTATGAAACCTAAAATAATCTACTTCTAAGATACACATGCTAAATTGTGGAATTCATTTCATATGTCCTCACCATAAAATTATATTTTCAGGGGCTGGCCTCATGGCCGAGTGGTTAAGTTCATGCACTCTGCTGCAGCAGCCCCGGGTTTCACCGGTTCGGATCCTGGGCGCAGACATGGCACCGCTCATCAGGCCATGCTGAGGTGGCATCCCACATGCCACAACTAGAAGGACCCATAACTAAAAATGCACAGCTATGTACCGGGGGGCTTAGGGGAGAAAAAGGAAAAATAAAATCTTTAAAAAAAATTAAAAAAGAAAATATAATTCTTTCCAGCCCCTGCAGCGTCATCAAGCAGATTTGAGAGGGTGGTCTGGCCAAATCCACAAAGCAGGATAGCTTGGAATGTGAAATGGTTTAAGGCACTTAACAGCCAGCCAGCGGCCTGAGTAACGACTTTTAGCTGGAACCAGGCACCCCCCCAATTTTGTGATGCTCTCTGCACACATATCATTTTACATAGCAGCCAACTGGAAAGTACACTTTAGTTGTTAAACTCAGAGGAGAGTGGAAGAACGTGAGGGAAGGGAGAAAGAAATGGGATGTGGGAAGAAAAGGGAAGAGATGGAGCAAAAAAAAAGATTAGGAGCTAGAGAACAGGCTTTTATTTCAAAGTCTGCTACTAATTAATGACAATGGGACTTGGGGGAAGTTATTAACCATTTCATGCCTAAAATTTCCTCTGAAATGAGAATGACTGTTTTTTTTTTGTAAGAAACACAAAATAAATCAGGCAGATACAAGATGGAGAAAGACCCACTAAGGAATAAATTTGTCAGAGAGATATTTAGGGGTAATTATGTATTACACACTAAGCACAGCATTACTTACAGCCCTCTGAGAGGGAGGGAGAAGCACTCCCAGGTGTTTCTCATGAGCTGACTCCTGTCACTGTCGGAGAAGACAAGGCTGAGGAATTTCCACGAGACTGGGATTCAGGGCACCAGGCATCTTTTTTGGAAATTGCTGGACCCCAGCAGCATGGGGTGTCCCCCGGAAGTCCCTGCCTGTGGCCTGGTCGGTCCCTACAGGGCCAGGACCCGGACAGTAATTATGGAGCTGAGAAGAAGAGCTGTTAGAGGATTAAATAAATGTATGAAAATGTCTGCCACAGTGCTTGACACAAAGTAGTCAATCAACAAATGGCAATGTTTTAGAATTTTAACATACATGCCCAACAGATTAGTAAAAAATTTAAAGTCTAATAATATTGTGTTAGAAAGTAGAGCCACTGGTATACTTCCATACTGTTGGTGGTATTAAAAATTGGACAAATCCTTTGGAAAACAATTTGGCCCTATCTAGTAAAGTCGATGGATCATTTACCTTATAACCCAGCAAGTCCATTTTTAGATATATGCCCAAGGAAAACTCTCCAGATACGTTATTAACAAGGATGACTGCAGTAGCACCGCTCATTAACAGCAAAACTGGAAACCAACCAAATGGCTATTAACGGTAAGTAGAGAAACAAGTTGTGGCATGTTCATACAGTGGAAAGCTATAAAGTAGTGAAAATGAGTGAACTACAGTTACACACATTAACGTTGGTTAAATCTCAGGAACATTTAGGGAAAAAGACAAATTGCCAAAGAATACAAATAGTGTCATTCTATTTACATAAAGTTAAATATCATGCAAAACTATATGATTAGGGATACATACTTTCAAGGTAAACCTACAAAGAGAAGCAAGGGAATGAAAAATACAAAATTTAGGGTAGAGGTTGGGGGGACGGGATGGAGAAAAGCACAGTGAGAGCTTCAAGCTATATTTGTGCTCATGTTATTGCTACTCTTTACAACTTACACATTTGTTGAAAACTTTTTATCTATTCAATATATAATAACAAAAGAACTAAAAAATTAAAGTGAATAAGACCAACTGTAGGAAATACTCTTCCTATCTTACTCAGGAGAGTAATTTTTAAATAACCCTTATTGAAATAGTAGGTCCAATTTGGGCTACTATATTTAAAAAAATGTTTTATTTTGAGATAATTTTAAACTTTCAGAAGAGTTGCAAAAATAGTATGGAGAATTTTCATATATCCTTCACTCATCTTACTCTTATGTTAACATCTTACATAACCATAGAAGAATTAACAAACAAAGAAATTAACCTTGGTAGAATACTATTAACCAAAGTACAGAAATTATTTTTTTTTTTTACCAATTCTTTCCACTAATGTCTTTTTTTTTGGTTTCAGGACCCAATCCAGGATCCCACAAAGCATTTAGTTATATGTCTCCTCCCACTTGCGACTGTTTCTCATTTTTTCCTTGTTTTTCATGATCTTGACAATTTTGAAGGGTACTGGACAGTTGTTTTGTAGAATGTGCCTTCACTTGGATTTGTCTGATGTGCTCATCATATCAGGAAATACATGCTGTTGTATGTATTCCTGGCAACATGAACCTAGATCACCTGGTTAAGATGGTGTCTGCCAGAAGGCTCCACTGTAAACTTACTATTTTTCCCTTTGTAATTACTAAATATTTGGGAGGAGGCTCATCACATTTAAACAAAGAAGGTTGAAAAAACAGTAGAGTCATAAAAGAGGCACCAAAGAGAAGTCAGCCTCTATAAGACATGGCTATAGGAACTAAAACTCTTTTATTTAGACATGAGAATCTAAAGGTAGAAATAACAGGCCCCACCCTTGAGTTGATAATCTCCAAGCTGCCTACATCTTGGACTGAACTGCCTAACACAGAAATGAAGACAACCTTATTGAAACTTTGGTTTGGAAGTGAAGTACTTATTTTCTGACCTATTAGCCAATAGTCTTCCAATTGGCATCACATTGCAAACCAACTTCAAGTTCCCCCAAGGCACAGTGGTGATTCTGTGCTGCCAGCATCCTATCTCCCTCCACACTTACTTATACACAAAAAACTGGTGAATTTACTAAGTACAAAGTTTTGGAGGAAGGTTTTAAGTTTATATTTAGCTCAGTCTGAAAATTACATGAACTATAACAAACACAATGAAGTCTAGCAATGGCATATTTGTGATACCAATGTAGCCAATGACTCTTAGTACTGGAATATCATAGACTGCGTGCACACAAGTCATAATTGGCTCTCAATGAACAACTCTGCCTCCAGAGAACAGAGCTCTTCACCAAGAAAGGAACAAACTCCTGGTTGACTTGAATGTTTTGAGAATATGAGGAAAGGACTCTCACACAGAAGCAGGTGTGCCTGTTACCCTCTGACTAAAATAAGAGCTACATTCTCCCTAAACTGTGTGGAAAATCACAAAAGCTTCCAGTCTACTCCATTAAGGTTTCTTGGAGTTAGCTATTACACCCAATGCACAATCCCCAGCTACTCCAGAAATCAAAGTTCCCATCCCAGTTCCCACCACGTGAATCTCAGCACAGCTAACAAAAGTTTTCTTTTTAATGCAACAGAACATGTAAAAAAAAAAAAATCAAGTCTTATCCTGAAATGCTTAGCACAGCCTGAAACTTGGCAGCACTCCACACAACACCTCTCTCCTCAGTTACAGCCCCTACCTTATCCCCTACTTATTTCAACCACAACTTCTTTCTGACAGGAAAACAAAGATCTAAACTTAGGAACTTTAAGACTCTGGGAGAGGTGGGAAGATGTAGAAACATCTCCTAGTCTATGGGGCCATTTGGATGAAGAGACCTCCTTCAGGTTCCTACTGCCAACTGATCCCCGGCTTTTGGGAGCTGGCCAAATTCCTGTGTCATGAATTGTTTTCTTCTGCTTCCTCTAGATGGGGATATGAAGTGAGTCTCAAAACCCTCATTTACAACCTACTTTTTCCAAAGATGATTCATAGACCCCTAATAACCTTTCAATTACCCTGGCTTTGATTTCAGGTGGTTTAAAGCAAAGAGCTGAAGATGTACATAAAATAATCTTCAAACACAAAATGGAGTAGAAAGGAACCTGCAAAACACTGCAGTTTCTTAGCTGCTGCCTCTATTCTCACATGCTCCCCCAGTTCGCCTGTTCAGTCTGGACGGCAGGCTTTGTAAAGCAGCTGTGTGCTACGAAGGGCTTCTTGTGCCTAGAGGTTTAGCTTGGGTCTGAACAAGCATTGGAACCCACATAACCTCCTTCTTGTACTTGTAATTTTGAAGTCTCACAAAGCAAGCTCCTCATTAGCAGCTTAATACTGATGCTTTGGGATGGTTTATTATCCCTTTTCGTCTATAAAAGTGAGTCAATGTTTACTAAGCTAGTCTTAACTGTTTTGCACGTACTAGGCAGTTAACAAATGTCTGTTGAAAGGAACTGTAGGAACTAAGTATTATGTTCTCTCTTAAACAAATTTTATTTGTTTTAAAATTGGGACGAGGATGAGATAATAGAAACAGCACTGACTGCTGCGGAGTTTGGAAACCTCTGTTCTATTATCAGCTGGATTCCTAAATTATTCGTACCTAAAACAAATGAGTCTTTTCTTCAGTTTTCTAGTTTCTCACCTACAATAAAAGGCAATGCTTGCTACTTCCCTTTCTTGCTCATAAAAGTAATGTAAAGCAGGGTCTTTGAATGGTGTTAGGCAGCGTAGGGAGGTTTCTCTGGGGCTGAAACAGGGTTCAGGGTAGAGTGGTGCAAGGGAAAGAAGGGCACGTCCTCTCTCTCAACTTGAATGACTGCTTTTATCTGAGATTTTCCACATATTTTCAATGGAAAAAGTAGTTTCTCCTGCTAAAAACAAAGTAAGAATATCATCCGGATGCTTCTGGGATAAATGCTCATTTGAGTAAGTTAAAATGTACACTTGTAGATGGAACTCAACCTCCAGCTAGACGAGGCACAGTTCAAAGTTCTCTTTTTTTTTTTTTTGGAGGAAGATCAGCCCTGAGCTAACATCTGCTGCCAATGTTCCTCTTTTTGCTGAGGAAGACTGGCCCTGAGCTAACATCCGTGCCCATCTTCCTCTGCTTTGTATGTGGGATGCCTACCACAGCATGGCTTGCCAAGCAGTGCCATGTCTGCGCCCAGGATCTGAACCGGCGAACCCTGGGCTGCCGAAGTGGAACATGAGCACTTAACCGCTGTGCCACCGGGCTGGCCCCCTCAAAGTCCTTAAATAGCCCCTCTCAGTGTAGCTTATCCTGGCATCTATGTGGCCTTGGCACAAATTCCCAACAAAAGCTGGAACTACTAGGAGCCATGTGAAGACACTGCACCGCCTCACCTGTCTTTTCTAATCCCATCGTCAGTCCACAGTTCATTAAGATACTTAGTCTTCTCCCTTGTTTTCACGGCAACTCATCTTCCTGGCTTTTCTCTCACTGCCTCTTTGACTGCTTTGCAGTGTGACGTAGCAGGGTTAGGCTGACCTAAATTTAAACCCTGAAGCCAACACTTATCAAATGTGGGCCCTGGGGCTGAGATAAGCACTCTGAGCTTCAGTCTCTTCATCTTTCACATGAAGATAATCACTTCACCTTGCAAGGACTCTATAAAATAAAGTACATCAAGCATTTTCTATAATGCCTTGCACACAATAGGTGTTCTTCCCCCAAAGCATGGTTCTTATTCCTGTTCTCTGTGTATGCTTTCCCTGAGTTATGGCATCATATCCTCTCATTGCCTCTCTAGCCCTGGCTCCTAAAACTCTCTCTAGTCCCAAACTCGTACTGTTGGACAATTTCCTCTCAATTGCTCACTAGCATCTCAACACAAACATGTTTCAAAGTGACACTTCTCAACACCCCTGATTTCCAGCAAATCTGCTCCTCTTCCTTATTATCCTGTACTTGTTCATGAAACCTAAGAGTCACATTCAGTTCCTCCTCTGATAACTTGTCAGGTCCTATAATATTCCGTCTGAGGGACTCTTGAAGCTATTACCTCATTTCTAATCCCACTAATACCATCTCAGGTTCTTTATAACTTCCTCCTGAATTCAATGTCCTGTTACCTGCCTCCAACTTTTATAAACTATCCACTGCTGCCCTGAAGCAGAACACTGATCATATCTTCTTACCCACCAGCTCAAAAACCTTCAAATGGCTTCCCACGGGTTACTGAATGAAGGTCAGATATTATCAGCCACACATTCAAGATGCTATAATTTGAACTCAAATTATTCTTTTATCTTTCTCTTCCACTATTTACCTTTATTTAAACTGGCCTGTGTACAATTCCATAAACGGCCCGTGCTTTCCTGCACCTATGCCACTGCTCACACTGCTCCCTCCAAGTGTAATGGCCTGCTCTCTATCAGTCACCATCTTTCAAAGGCTTTCCTACAAAGGCCAGCTCACATCCCACAAACTTCTCAATGAAGTTTGTCTGCTCCCCCGATCCAGAAATAATCTTTCACCCCTCCCAACTCCATACCACTTCGTTGGTATTATTCTCCTAAAACTAATCATTTTTCTTCCTTGTGTTATAATTTTTTTTTCAATTTTATCTCCCCTATCTCATCGATAAATGTGACTGTGTCAAATTAATTTCTGTGTCCTCGAAGCCCTAGCACAGGGCCTGGCTTCTAAGTAGGAGGCTGGTAAAATATATGAACTTGAAAAAAGAATGAAGACCAGCAGGAGGTAAGTTTATTAAGAACATCAGCCCAAGGAAAACCTTTCTGAAAAACACATGTTACAAGATGTCTCCTGCTGATACGTCATCAAGACAATTGCTATAAAGAATACAAACACTTTATCCAGTGGCATTTAAAATCAGCTCTGGGGGAGTGGTTAAGTTAGTCATTCTGCTTCAGTGGCCTTGGGTTGGTTGGTTCTGATCCTGGGCACGGACCTACACACTGCTCATCAAGCCATGCTGTGGCAGTGTCCCACATAGAAGAACTGGAAGGACTTACAACTAGGATATACAACTATGTACTGGGGCTTTGGGGGGAAAAAAAGAGGAAGATTGGCAACAGATGTTAGCTCAGGGCCAATCTTTCTCACCAAAAAAAAAAGAAAAAGAAAGAAAAACAAAAAAATCAGTTCTGGAATCTGTACATCTCTCAGTTAAAATCAGTCCAAAGACACATTCCTCTTAGCTGCCCTACTTCATTAGATACAAAAGTGGCAGCCATAAAGTGGGGAGCAACTGTTTCTAACATAATTTAAAACCCTAAACTATGAGGGATTTTTTGGGCTACACATGTCACTTCTCTGCTGGTGGTCTATGCTGCACTGCTCTTCTTCACAGCAGAAGGCAGAACATTTGTAATGTTACCAGGTCAACAAGCTGTAGGAGTTTAAGACACTCCAGTATGAGGCTCCCTGTCCCCATAAGTCCCCAACTCTGGCTTTGAGAATAAACTGGGAATATCCTTGGATCACAGTGCCAACTGGAATTGTCAAGTAGTTTTTGCACATCATATGGGGTTTTATTGGGACTAAGGAGAGTCACAGACGGACCAGGCTGAACTAAATTAAACTAAGCCCAAGTTGGGGCCAGCCTGGTGGCGCAGCGGTTAAGTTTGCAAGTTCTGCTTCTAAGCAGCCTGGGGTTTGCTGGTTCGGATCCCGGGTGTGGACATGGCACTGCTTGGCATGCCATGCTGTGGTAGGCGTCCCATAAAGTAGAGGAAGATGGGCACGGATGTTAGCTCAGGGCCAGGCTTCCTCAGCAAAAAGAGGAGGACTGGCAGTAGTTAGCTCAGGGCTAATCTTCTTCTTCAAAAAAATATAAATAAATAAATAAATAAAATAAATAAACTAAGACCAAGTAAAAAGAATCACTTCCAGAATTGCCTTCCATTCCCACTAGGAATATCTGGGCTGGGAGCCATCCTGGATCTTAGGATGGCCTCTCAGAGTCACTCTGATTCTGGAAATTATAGAATTTCACAATTGGAAAGGCACTGGGAGACATCTAGTCCATCCTGCCACCCAGAGCAGTCATTCCCTGTGGTTAGCAACCCTGGCCACGTCACTTAAAGACTTCCAGTGAAGAAGAAATCACGGTCTCTCAAGACAGCTTCTACATTTCCAGACAGCTCTAATCATAAATACGTTTAATCACTGAATTTCTCTTGACTCCTATAAGCCTCAGAGGCAAGCAAGAGCCAACAGTAGGCCCTGCCTCGGCTCTACCTTCATCTCTTCCAAGCTGGTGAGCACTGAGAGGAACAAGCACCCAGCCCTGAGTGTGCTGCATCACCCATCACCACCTTCCATCCTGGGCAATGTGGTCACTGCACCAGGTGCTGTGCCTCGGGTCCTGAGCCCTAAAATCTGGTTTACCCACTCATCTACTACATGAACAGCAGCCAATACAATGAATTATGAGCACTTTACTTGTCTCTCAGCACAGAGTCTAGGACATCTTAGTTTTGCTGCTTGTCCTAATTCTTAAGTGCACTCCACTCCAATCTTATCCAACCTCAAATCCTTTTAGGGATTTCAATTCGCCAATTTCTCTCTCAGAGACTTCTGATAACCTTACTGATATTCACTCTATATATTTCAATTCCAGTGCAACAAATACAAACCATGTGCTAGCCCAAATGGTTGGGCCCACCCAGACAAAGCAAGAGTAACAGTTCTGCTCACTGCAGTTCTGACAACAGGTTAAACAGGTGGGCACGATTATTCATTCTTACAGCCTCCTCAGCAACTCTAATCTAATAGAAAATCCTCACACTCTGAATTTCAGTAACTACTGGTGAACAACTTCTGAGTCACCCTTAGTGGTCTGGTTCATTTCAAGAAGCTGTGTGGTTCTTGACAGGGAGGCTGTAGGACCCAAAAAAGGCATACATAGAAATTGGGAACCAGATTTTAAACATAGCACCGTGCCAGAAAAGAAGTTAAGAAGATTCAACATTAATGAATGTTTAACCATCTATGGAAATATTCTCTGAAGTAATCTGATTAAGAGATATTTATAAATTATAAAAGTGCTGATAAGATTAAAATACAGCCTAAATTAATCTCAGTATAGCGTTTAGGGCTCCTCTCCAGAAAGAAGGCATGAAGTTAAAATAGAACTAATCTAAGAGAAGCTCTACTCTTCATTTTTATTTATTTATTTACTTATTTTTTTAATTGATCTATGGTTTGCAAACATCTTCTCCCAATTGTCAGGTTGTCTTTTTGTTTTGTTGATGGTTTCTTTTGCTGTGCAGAAGCTTTTTCGTTTGATGCAGTCCCATTTGTTCATTTTTTCTTGTTTCCCTTGCCCGGTCAGACACGGTATTTGAAAATATGCAGCTAACACCGATGTCAAAGAGCATGTTGCCCATGTTTTCTTCTAGAAGTTTCATGGTTTCAGGTTTTAAATTCAAGTCTTTAATCCACTTTGAGTTGATTTTTTGTGCATGGTGTAAGGTAACGGTCTACTTTCATTCTTTTGCATGTGGCTGTCCAGTTTTCCCAACACCATTTATTGAAGAGACTTTCCTTTCTCCATTGTATGTTCTTGGCTCCCTTGTTGGAAATGAGCTGTCCATACGTGTGTAGGTTTATTTCTGGGCTCTCAATTCTGTTCCATTGATCTGTGTGTCTGTTTTTGTGCCAGTACCATGCTGTTTTGGTTCCTATGGCTTTGTAGTATACTTTGAAATCAGGGAGTATGATGCCTCCAGGTTTGTTCTTTTTCCTCAGGATTCCTTTGGCTATTTGGGGTCTTTTGTTGTTCCATATAAACTTGAGGATTTTTTGTTCTATTTCTGTGAAAAATGTTGTTGGCACTTTGATAGGGATTGCATCGAATCTGCAGATTGCTTTAGGAAGGATGGACATTTTAACTATGTTAAGTCTTCCAATCTAAGAGCACAGAATATCTTTCCATTTCTTTGTTTTCTTCAATTTCTTTCAACAATGTTTTATAGTTTTTGGTGGACAGATCTTTCACCTCTTTGGTTAAGTTTATTCCTATTTTATTCTTTTTGCTGCAATTGTAAATGGGATTGTATTCTTAATTTC